TATTTTTTTTTTTTGTAAAATTAGCCTTAACTGCTGAAAATGCGCGGGCCGGTGGCGGCGATCCATTTCAGTGGGTCCGGTCCCGTGACTGCGCTTCGTTCTCCCGATGCTGGTCCTTAAGGGGTTAAATCAAGTGCTGACAAAGACTATTGAAAACATTTTCTCACAGGTACAGGGACTGGGGATAGGAAATTTTCAAACTCATTGTATTGAAATATTATGTACCTGGATGATAAAGCCACGCTCCACAATACAGTTGAATGAATGAACTTTGGAAAATTTCAATAGGTACAAATAACATATTCTGGCATTAAAGAATTAGTCTTTAGCCAGTTTGAGTTTTAGTGTCAGAAACGAATTTAATAAATGGAGGTTTTTCTGTTAATTAGTATGTACAGTAAGTACCCACTGATTGTTAAAATCACTTCTGTTCCAAACAGGTTTGAGTCTATTAAGCGGCTGAGTTAAATAAATGGTGATTTGCAAACCATGATAACAGTTTTGAACTTTTATAGTAAAGTAATAACTAATCCATTAATTAAAATCCTAAAATAATTATTAAAAATTAATACTAAAATTAAATTATTTATACAGTTTTCAAATTTATTTTTTTATTTTTTATAAAAGCATTTTAATAATTACATTCTTGATCAAAGTTTATTTCTTACAAACAACTATGTTATCTATTTATTTTACATTGTTCAACAGCAGTTTTTCTACTATATTCTCAATTTCATAAAACTACTAATAACGTTTTTGATCAGCACTTTCAGTTTTTAATTCAGTTCAGGTGTTATTTACATTGTCTCGATAGTGTTGTGAATTGACGCATATTCTGAAAATGAACTCTCATAACTTCCCCCACTGATGTCTGAAACATTAGCTATAGTTTGCAATTCAAGTGAGGGTTCTCCTGCATAAAAGCCACATTTGTAAAACAGTTTTAACTGATTTTAAAGGATTAACCCCTCTCCTTGACCATAATATGCATGGCCTTTAGCAGAATGAACTTATTTATCTTCTTTGAAGTGCACAAAATTTTCACAAAATTGAATATTGTTCATCATTTACTGAATATTGTTTCTAGAATGAAAGTTAGAACTTTTTATAACACCCTAAAATTAATCTTTCATAGTCAGAAGTTGTATTTGCAGGAAGATATAAAGGGTTTTCAAATGAAAAGGTATGAAACGTTGTAACAGCTAAACCAGTTGAAATTTTAATGTGCTGCTTTGGCATAACATAGTGAGATATCTAAGGGTGTGAATGCAATATCTAACATGGTTGTGCACATGTGTGAGTGCCCGCACATGATGCCGGAGGGAAGTAGGCAGTTATGTGCTCTGTCTAACTGATGTGACAGTGTATGTGATGGTATCTTTGCATTCACAATGCAAAATTTGACAATTGAGGAACAGTGGGATGTTATCAGATTTCTGACCATGGAAGGGGTTAAACCGGTCGATATTCATTGCTAGATGATCACCGTATATGGAGCAGACTGTGTGTCCAACAAGTCAGTGAGAAGAGTGGAGTGCCAGTTCCCCTCCTCATACAGCCACCATCCACAACTGCCTGCTTCACTCCAGCGTCATATGCCAGCACTTGTGCATTCGCACAACCATGTTGGATACTATGTCTTTAGATGTCTCACTACATTATGGCAAAGAGGCATATTCAAATTTCAACCGGTTTGGTTGTTATGACGTTTCATACCTTTTCATTTAAAACCCCTTATATTTATGTTTTTACAAAAGAGTTGGGGAATGTGTGTTCTTCACAGTTATCTAAATAGTAATGCTGTTTTTTCATTTTTATTTCACTGTCGCATTTCAAAAGAAAAGAAATAAAAATACAGGGTATCCACAAAGTCCCTAAAAAACTGTAACTGTTTTTTGTTTGGTAATGGAACAACCCAAACCCAAAAGTTTAAACCTTTGGTATTAGTCACTGTTTCATAAGCAAGGATCAAAGCTTTTGTGAGAAGTGTCATACATAAGTTATGCAACCTAGGTATGTGACAACATGATTTCTGGTCTACAGTTCTCCAACTGTAGGCAAATTTAATTAATCAATTTGTCAAGGTAAAATGTTATTGTTTATTCACTGAACAAAACTGGTCTTAAAATCTGGTGGTGTGGTCCATGCAGCATACCGTATCAAACATTCACTTTCAGGCTGTCTTGCTTCAGCTTCCCGACATGAGGTTTTGGGAATACCCAAATCCCCATGCTAAGTGTATATTGAACCAAAACAAATTGTTGGGAAAAAACTTTGATGTATGTGTAAAAATACCTCAGAAATTTACATCACTACTACTTACAGGATGCTTACAATAATAGGCTTAATTTGTTGTGTGGCTTTGAGGACATCCTGTACTATTTGTCATCAATGAGATCTTGTTGATATGCCAAGTTAGATGTAAATTCTGGGCTCCTTTCAAACATCGAGGTTTTCTGCTTTTGTCCATAACCACTGTTGTCTTCTCAATTCTTAGGTCCATATTACTTGTTAGTAACATATTAAGTTATTCCTTCAATTTCTTTAATCAACTGCTGTTTTACTTTTAAATATTTTCTGGCAGTGTTCTGCAATGCAGTCCCGTTTCATCTGTATTATAAATTTTGTGTGGTTTATGCTCACTTAGAAGTCCATGTAAAAAGGTTTAGTCAACAACTCTATCAACTTTGAGGGCAAACAGGTAGTACAGGTACCTCTTAATCAGATGCAAAGAAATCTGATTCTTTGCTCCTGATGAAGAGGCACCTGTACCTGTTTGGCCTTGAAACTGATATAGTTCTTGGCTAAATGTTCTCTCTATCCAATCAATCTTCCACTTCATGGTCACAAGCATAACCAATGCCTTCCTTGCTTTTTTTTTTTTTTTTTTTTTACTTTTAAATACTGTTAACATATGATGATTCTTAGAAGCATTTCCTGAAATTTTTTTTTTCTCTATTCCTATATTTATATTCCTATATTTATAGCTCTTTTCCTATAATTCTTTTTAGTTCTCGACATCTTTTATAGAAAAAGTTTTATGAAACCACCTAATAGAGTACAATTTTTTCATTTAATGTAATTTAACCCCCCCCCCCCCCAAAAAAAAAAAAAAAAAAAAAAAAAAAAAAAAAAAAAGGCCTAATTTTATTTTTATGGCTTCAGTTATCACATGTTGTGTAAAATAAAAGTTTACACATAAATGAAAGTCTTATCTTATTTCTTCTCCTCCCCAGTACCCGGAAAACATGAGATAACAAGAAGAATGTGTAGAATTATTCTGATGTTATTACAAGCCTTAATAAATAAAAATTATACAAATATGATAAAAATATCCAGTTAGATTAATGATCAAGTATATGTCCAAGCCAAAATAATTAAGAAATACTCACATTTAAATAAAATTTTAAATTTCAAAATGGGTGTCGAACAATAAAAAAAATTAGCTTGCAAGTTACCATTAGTTCTAAATTGAGGCTTCACTAAATGATTTCATTTACTAGTAAAAATGCTTATAAAATCAAATAGTGAAACAATTATTTAAAAATTTTACATACATTAAATATTGTAGAAGTTTATAAATCTGTAAGCAGTCCTAAAATTGGAGATGCAGAGTACATTCATTCTTTGCTTTTGCATAAATCAAGCTGTGGGTCTGGGAAATATGAGCAATTGAAATTCAGTTTATTAATAAAAATATTCACTTATCATCATTTGTAGTGTCGACACTTATTTACAATGTTAAATAAATGTTATTTTTCGTCTTATACAAGCTTTATGTGCAAGTTATATTTTTTATATGAATTTTATTATTTGGTTCATTAGGATTAGGAACTTTGTACATGTTTACAGGGTGTCTTATAAACTTGTGAGAGAGGTGGGATGCATCCAGGCAACTCAATTACATAGCAGTGCAAAGTAAAAAATGCATTTCTGATGTGGCAGATGGCATTGATTTAGGCATTCTGTCAGGGTAACTTCATTTCACACATAGATGCAAAAATATTAGGATGTGTGATTATTCAAATGCAGAGTTAGTCGATATACATCCAGTAAATGGCCACTTAAATGTTATATTTGGCTAAAATTTTGTTAACTGTGGCCTGTTTGATTTATCCTGCCCTATTTGTCTTTTGAAGACATATGAAAATAATGGGGTATGACATTCATTCCCATTGACAGTGTCAAGAAACTGGTCCCATGCATTGCAGTAGCTGCTGGGAAATATGAGACATACTCAGAATTATCCAGAATATTTGGAATTCTGGGCACTTGAGATGTAAGATCTGCATTGCAGCTCATAGAAGGTAACCTCTACTAACCACCTTCTTTGACCTCTGTTACTTTTGTGAATGGAAAAAATTCATATAATGTGGAATCCTTCCATTTCTGGTATTTTCTGTGTATACTATTGATTGTGCATCATTTACGACCATACGCTGCTGTGTGATGCTGAGTCATCTGTGTGCAGTCTAACAAGTTTGTTATTCTAGATGTATAGAATGTGTACTTGTATATATGTGTGGATTATAGTTTATAAAAAAATTATTACTTTCTATAAGGAATTTTCTTGAAATTTTGAAAGAAATTTTATTTAAATTTTCTTTTCTATGTGTTTGTGTGCTCACATACATAATTTGTTTAAATATTGTTATATTTTGTGGTGCTTTCCTGTTACTAATCCTAACTTTTATTCATATGCCTAGATTCCAGTCTTTAAATTACTTCTTATATTTAATTTTCAGCTTTAAAAGAATTATTGAAATCATGCATAAATGTTAAGGAATGCAAATTTTAGCATATTACACATATTTTTTATTTTGAGAGATCTTTGTAAGTGGCTATGATTTGCAATAGTAATAATGTTTTCTGTGGAATTTAACAGTCTTTCCATTTAATCTCATATTAGATTTTTTTTTAGATATTCACCATTTAATGAATTTCCAAGTTTTAGGGGCTCAAATGAGGCATTTTTTTTTTTTTTTTCCGCTTCCTTACAGATTGTGGAATTATGTCACGAAGCTGGTATGTCTCTACTTAAGGAGGATATAACTTCTTCAACTTCACAAGTTACTATGAAGCATTTTCATGAAGCTCTGAACTGTGTTTTACCAAAGACAACTAAAGAAATGATTGAATTTTATGAAAATTATAAAAATAAAGCTTATGTATAATATAGATTATAGCAATAAATATTTTTATAATATGCAGAAACTTTTTTTGTGTATTTTTTAAATTTTGATTTCTTTCAACAGAATAATATTTATTTCAGAGCATCAAGCATAAAAAATTTGCTACCTTTTCATAGGGATTTGATCTCTGGGTTATCCAAATGCTAGCAGAATATGCTATATGAGTTGCAGCAAGTGAGCATGCAATGCAGAAGGTGAAATTCTTTATAATGTGTTGCTGAAAGTTCTGGATTTTTACTGTATGACTATTGCTTATTTCTGAGTGATGGCCTTTTGGAAATCCAAGAATCCTGGAGACTTCCCAGTTAAAAATGTTTGTGGTTAGATAAAATCCAGTCCATAAATCTTCTATTTATACGTTTACTTCATTTAACTGTGAAGTTTTATATACTACATTATTATATTTGTTTAGATAAATGCTACTCTCTCTCTGTATATATATATATATATATAACGGGTGGCCATAATTAAACTGACAGTGCTCACAGTGTTCTGTAGCACGATCTATTTGCGAGAATGACGCCACATTTCGAAGGAAGATTAAACAAGACAGGGGACGAAGGATTCCGCGAAAAAAAATAGTTCCAAAAGTCACCGCTAGGGGAATATTTGGCGCTGTGTAATAGAAAATAGAGTGTTAACAAATGCAAATCAATAGGGAAATTACCTTTTATTTTGCATTCAAATGAGGTTCAATGTGGCACCTGTTGTTGTCGACCACATATTGCATTCTGTGCACAATAGCAGAAAGTAACGTGTCTGCAGGAATCTCCCATACAGTCCGTGATATGTTATCCTTCAACGTAGCCAAGTCCTGGACCACTCTTTGATAGACCTTGGACCTAAGGTAACCCCATAGCCAGAAGTCGCATGGGTTAAGATCAGGCGACCGAGGTGGCCATGCAGTTGGAGAGTAGCAGCTAATGACTCTTTCTGTTGTGAATTTCTGTCGTAGCATCTGTTGCACCCGTACAGCAACGTGTGGAGGGGCTCCATCTTGCATGAAAATGATTTCCCCCAGGCATTATCTTTGCTGAAGTGCAGGAATGACAAAGCTGTTCGACATGTGGCAATGTTTCTCTCCGGTAACAGAACAGGTTTCCGATTCTGTCGGGGTAATGTTCTCATAGAAGAATGGACCTATGGCAAATTCCGCTGTGAAACCACACCAAACAGTTACCTTTGGTGAATGTAAGGGAATTGTTGTGACTGCATGTGATGATTTGTCATCCCAAATTCGGCAGTTCTGGGTATTCACAGTTCCATTCAGGTAAAAGTGGGCCTCGTCTCCCCATAAGATCATCCATCACGGCCAAGCATCATCCACCTCCGTTCTGGCAAGAAAGGTGAGAGCAAAAGTCAATCGCTTATCATAATCGGGGTACAGTAACTCCTGTACACGGCTGATCTTGTACGATAGAAGTTGATAATCTTTTATAAGATTTTCCATACCGTACTGTAAGGCATATCCATATTCCATAAGGCATATCCATAATAAAAGCTAATTTTATTCTGTATTAATTTGCACTTGTTAACACTCTATTTTCTACTACACAGCGTCAAATATTCCCCTAGCAGTGACTTTTGGAACTAATTTTTTTTTTCCGCGGAATCCTTCATCCCCCGTCTTGTTTAATCTTCCTACAAAATGTAGCGTCATTCTCGCAAATAGATCGTGCTGCAGAACACTGTGAGCACTGTCAGTTTAATTATGGCCACCCGGTATATGTATGTTACTGTAAAAGCCCGAATTCTGGTAAATCCTAGGTTTTACCAAAGTGGCTTGGTAAAAGTCCAAAGTATGCTTTAATATGATTCCATTTCATCCTTTTACCAAGCCTTTGTGGGAAAGCCTTGGGGTTACCAGCGCCTTCTGGTAAAATTCTGAAACAAGGGATTTAAATTTTTCTTAAATAAGCCTGTGTGCACAAATTCTGTCATGATACTTTTGTCTTCCTTCTACACCTTATTTGGGCCATTTGCAGTCTAGCTTCGAGCAAATTCAAACAAGTGTAAGTGGCTATGATTTAAAATAGAAGCAGTGTGTGTTTCCATTTTAACAAATTTTGCATTTTTTAATGGGAATGAGTGATGTTATGCGGAAAAAGCTTTATTACATTTTGTCCAGATCTGTAAAAAAAAAGCACGGTAACAGCTTTTATTTATCGAGAGATACAGTACTTTAACAAATGAAGAGAAAAAAAGCAAAATGTGTGCAGGAAAAATAAACAGTTTATTACATAAGGTTGGTAGAAACGCTATAATATCCTAAATATTGGAGGAGAGGACTACTATCAAGTTATTGCACCACTATCTGCAAAAAAAGTAGATATTGTGTATTACAATAGATAAAGTCTTCAGCATGTATGAGTGTAGCGTCATACACTACACTCATATTGCAGTTGGCCATAGTGGTATCCATATGAGTAAGGAACTGAATTGCAAGTACAAGAATTTAACAGTAGATTCTATCTTCTATTGTCACATATGTGAGACTTTGTAAACCATGTGTGAAAAAAAAAAAAGAAAAAACTGTGAAAAAGTGTATTGTGATCAAACCAATTGTGCATGGTGAAATGAATTCTTGATGCGAAGTCGACCTAATCAGTCCAATCCTGATCGTGGTATGAAATTCATTTAGTGGATTAAGATCATCCTATAAAATTTGTCCTACTTGGAAGTTTACGTAGTAAAAGAGCTGATGAAGTAGCATCATTTTCTGGATATTTTCACAACTATTGGAGCCCAGAACATTTTTCATTCGGACAATGGGAAGGAATTTTGCAACCAAATCATAAACAGTTTATGTGAAATGTGGAGTGATATAAAAATAATTCATGGAAAGCGAAGACACTGTCAGCCGCAAGGTTCTGTCGAACAGGCGAACCAAGATGTTGAGAACATGCTGCCAACATGGATGGAAACAAATAAGACAGAAAATTCCTCGGAGGTACTGTAAATTTACGAGGGCCATCCAGGAAGTAGATTACGTTTCCGTCTGTGTCCGCTAGGGGCGGGGCTAGCGCGGCCATCTTGGGGTCAGAGCGTTGCGCAGCTCAGTCTGCATCTAGCCGTGCTAGTGAGAGGTTCGTGCTGTGCTCCGTTCAGATACTGTGACGGTTTGAAATGTCTGCGTTAATTGAAAATCCCGCGAGGTGCGCTCAGTAATAAGGTTTCTGACTGCAAAAAACTGTAAACCGATAGAAATCTATCGGCAGCTTCGTGAAGTGTATGGGGACAACATTATCACTGAAGGTGGAGTGCGTCAGTGGGTCATAAGATTTCAAAATGGCCGAACCAATGTTCACGACGAAGATCGAAGTGGGAGACCCAGCATAGTGACCGCCGAACTTCTCGAAAAAGTCGATGCTAAAGTCCGTGAAAATCGAAATTTCACAATAACGGAACTTTCTTTGAGTTTTCCACAAATTTCGCGAAGTTTGTTGCACGAAATCATCAGCGAAAAGCTTGGTTACCACAAGTTTTGTGCAAGATGGATTCCAAAAATCTTGACAGAGGACCACAAAAATCAGCGAATGGCTGCAGCGTTGAACTTTTTGGACGCTTACCATAAGGATGGTGACTCTTTACTCGATCGCATCGTTACTGGTGACGAAACATGGGTGAAAAACATGTGAACTGTGAACTGTGAAACGAAATTGCAATCAATGCAGTGGGGGCACACAAGTTCTCCCCAAAAACCCAAGAAATGCATGCAAACAATGTCGGCAAGGAAGATGATGGCGACTGTTTTTTTGGGACAGAAAAGGTGTAATTTTGGTGGACTTCCTGGAAAGAGGCACTACAATAAACTCTCAAAGGTATTGCCAAACTCTCCAAAAACTCAGAAGAGCAATTCAAAACAAGCGCAGAGGAATGTTGAGCTCTAAGATCTTGTTGATTCACGACAACGCCCGGCCCCACACGGCAAATGTCACTCGTAAAGTTCTTGAATCTTTTAAGTGGGAGTTGTTTCCTCATCCGCCGTACAGTCCCGACCTGGCACCGAGCGACTTCCACCTATTCCCAGCAATGAAGAAGTGGCTGGCTATGCAGCGTTTTGATGACGACGCACAGCTGCAAGAAGAGGTAACGAAGTGGTTGAACGGCGCAGGCGGCCGAATTTTTCGACGAAGGAATTTCCAAGCTCGTACATCGCTACGATAAATGCCTTAATTTGTATGGTGACTATGTAGAAAAGTAGTATTTGAGTGTGGCTTTCATCTGTATATAATAAAATTTGTTTCCTATACTTTGTTTATTTTTTTATTCCAAAACGTAATCTACTTTCTGGATAGCCCTCGTAAAATCTTCAGCCAGATAAGTTCTAATTTCGATTCTTTATTTGGTGTATGTACCGAGAAAATATTGAGACTCATATAAAAGAGAAAGAGGATGATATAGTCTTAAATGTGAAAGTTGAAATTAAACCATAAATTAGCCAGATTTGCTCAGGAAAATAAATCGGAGCAGTCTGGTTGTACAAATGCTGAAAACCATGTTAAATCACTAAGACATATCTTTTAAGAGTGGACAAAGTGGGGTGAGTCATTCCACAATTAAACTAGTACCCGTAAATGTCTTTATTGATAACATGGGACTTGGGCGAACATGCCCACTAATAGTAAACATCGTTTAACTATTCTTTTGGAGCATTAGCTGAGGCTTTTGATGGTAGGGATTAGTAGCTGTGAGACTGCCTAACCAAAATTTGTTAAAACGAAATGTTTGAGACAGCTGCCTATTTCCTGTAGAATGATGTTTGTATATCTATATTACAGTCAAAAGTCGTTAATCCGGACACCCATAATCCGGAATGATCTATAATCCGGACCTCAAAGCTAAAAACTTTCTGCGCATGCGCCGCGTTGACACATGCGCATAGGCGTTTACGTGTGCGCGTAAGACCTTTACGACTGCGCATATGCGTGTGCGCAAGTGCAGAATACGTTTTCGCTTGCGCGTTTGATGTATAACGGACGGTATAAGCTAAAATTATCTAATTATCTATTTTAGTT